ACACACAAATTGCAGTTTTCAGACCATCTATGTTCTTTTATGTTCTTACATAAGCCAGCATTATGTGCACAAATGAAAAACCATCTCGAGCTGCATCAGCGCGTGTTTTGTCAGTCTAGCACCGATCCATCACCGAGGCAGAAGCATCCCCACGGAGTCTGCCGTACCAACGACGTGCCAACATTTTTTATTTTTGTTTTGCCTGTAAAACTGAATCATGAGAGATGAACGTGTCGTGTTGTCGTTTTGCGGGACTAAATGCATTTCTGAATTTTTAAATCCCACAAATGAAATCTGTGATTCGCTCCTACTGTCACATTTGGGAGGCACTGCTTTTTGATGCGTTCCTTCATAACTTCAAGTGAACCTAAGAAACGTAAATCACGTCGGTTTTCGAAGGCTTTAATTGTCAGACGTCTGTAGGAGTGCGATCAGTATTCTAACAGGTCTGCTGCCTCCTTCACGTTGCACTCAGCTTCTCTCTCCAGTCACGCGTCAGTGGAGTTTGCTGTTATCAGCGTTAGATATGGCAGCCGCTTCCACGTTTGCGCGTGCCTCTGTGCGTCCTTGTTGCACGTCCTAATTAGCACTATGGGGTACAATAATTATTGTAATAATAACCGAATTCCCTCAGAGCTTGGGGATAATGAGTTTCTAACTTTGTGTGTCTGCTTGTTTTTGCATTTGACAGAACTGGGTTTGGTGTTTATGCCATAAAAACACACACACAAAAAAACTGGGGGAGGGTAAGTAATGAAAGCATGATGCTGCATTCAAATTCACCTTTAAATTCATCTGTGTGTGAGGATGCATACGTGGAGGGCAGGCGGGGTGTGTTCTTTCAGGGACTTTATTTACTCCCTGGGGTATCTGACTCATTTTCCTATTAGTGTGCAAAGATGATAAGCGATAAACGCCTCAATTTGCCGCATCAGGAATCCACAATCTGCTCCTCTGTGTTTTTCCTTACCCCTCAGTCTGATTCAGACGTTTAACCGGCACATTGGATGCTAGTTTTAGCCGTTAAATTTCCTTAAATGAGTGTATATCTGAGTCTGGATGTGTGTGTGTGTTTGGGTGTTTTCCGGTCAATGTTATGGATCCCTTCTTTTGTTTGCACAGCTGGCTTAAATGCTCAGCCAGCTGAGCCTTTAGCTTGTTACCTGAATGTCTCTGTGTGGACTGTTGTTGTTATCTTTCTTTGTGCGCATGGATGTTGTAGCTGTGCGTGCCGGGCGTGTGGAAGTGTTCTCATTTGCACCTCACAGTGACAACTTTAGGCGTCCAGCTTAAAAAAACAGATGCCTTAAATGATTAAAAGCTAATGAGAATTGTGATAATTCTTTCGTTGGGTCTGTCGAATATGTTCACACATGCTCCACGAGACAAAGTCCTGCCAAAGGCATCGAGCGCAAAATGATTATTGAGATCTGACAGCAGGGACAAATCCCGACACGCTCTGCAGAGACGCTCCTACACAGTCGCTCGGTGATAGGGAGAAGTAGAAACTCAGTTATGCAGTTATGAATATGTGCTGTAACGATGGTGGGGTTAATTAACTTAAATGTCCTTCTTTCTTTTCACTTCTAATA